ATAATTAATGCTGAAAATTTGGTTGAATTTGATTTAATATTGAGGAAGTTACAGATATTGAAACATAGAATTTTCAAACATGCACTCACTTTTGCTTGCCACTGTATACCCAAAGTGACCATTTGGCTATAATGTTAAGTATAGACAAGAGTATGCAGCAGCGAAATGTGTGCCACCAAAAGCTGCAGTCCAACGGGTGGAGGATTGAAACTCTAGATGAGGAGCTTTTTAAGATAATGCTGGATGGAAATATAAATGGAAAATATAAATGGAAATATAAATTGTTGGTACAACACATTAGCAAAGCCTGTGATGCCGCTATGAACCAAAAGAGGACAGCCGCAAAGAGAAAGCCTGCTTACTGGTGGAATCGAGAAATCGAATCTCTGAGAAGTGATAGTCACAAAGCGAGGCGCCGTTTTCAACGGAGTATAGGCAGCTTAGATTGTGACAGCCTGCAAGAAGCATTCAAAAAGAAACACAACGACCTAAAAAAGGCAATTAAAAAGAGCAAAATGACATGCTTCAAAGAATTATGCGAAAAGGTGGACGAAAATCCGTGGGGAGCAGCTTATAGGATCGTAATGTCAAGAATTAAAGGTGGTAAATGTCAAGCGCCTACAAGGACTTCAGTACTCAAAAATGCTGTAGAAACCCTGTTCCCTCAACAAAACCAAACAGAAGGAAATTTTTAGGAAGTTGTTGTCACCGCGCAGGAAGTTATTCAAGCTGTTGTGCGCTTTGAAAATAGCAAAGCACCAGGATTAGATGGTATCCCGAACAGGATTCTTGAAATTGCGATCAGCTATCATCCGCAGCCATTTTCAGATTTGTACACACGTTGCCTTCGCGAAGGCGTGTTTCCAAAAATTTGGAAAGTAAACGGCTGGCACTCCTACAGAAGCCAAACAAGCCGGCAGGAGAACCAAGCTCCTATCGACCGCTCTGTATGATCGATACGATGGGCAAAATTCTGGAGCGGATAATCTGTGCCGGTCTAGAAGTTAGAAGGAGATGGTGGACTCGCTGATACCCAATATGGCTTTCGTAGAAA